CGAGGTATGATAGAGCTCATGGGGCAGGGAGAGAGAGGACCTAGTAGCAATCAGCGAAGAGGTGGGGCCAGGAGCTGTGACTCGACCCCTGCAACCACAAATAGGTGAGTACAAATAGTTGAGTACACGGGTCAGTCCTAGGAGCAGTGTTGTTTCTGGTATTTGTGAACATGACGGAAGGAATAGATTCTATGTAAAGTCATGAAGATAGGGGAAGGGCAAAGAAGACCGCAGACGGAGTACAGTCTAGGGGGACAGAGACTACAAACCTCATTCAAGGAAAAAGATCTTGGAGTGAATATAACACCAGACACATCTGAGGCGCACATCAACCAAATAACTGCTGAAACATGGGCGCCTAGCAAACCTGAGAACAGCATTCCGCCATCTTAATAAGCAATCGTTCAGGACCCTGTACACTGTGTATGTTAGGCCCATACTGGAATAGGCGGCACCAGTTTGGAACCCACATCTAGCCAAGCACGTAAAGAAACTAGAGAAAGTGCAATGGTTTGCAACAAGACTAGTCCCAGAGCTAAGGGGTATGTCCTACGAGGAGAGGTTAAGGGAAATCGATCTGACGACACTGGAGGACAGGAGAGATAGGGTGGACATTATAACGACATATAAAATACAGGAATTGACAAGGTGGACAGAGACAGAATGTTCCAGAGTGGACACAAGCAACAGGGGATTTGGAAATTGGAAACACAGATGAATCACAGGGATGTTAGGAGATTTTTTTAGAACATGATAGAGGAAGTGAACAGTTTGGGAAGCGATGTAATGGAGCAGTCCCATAGCTTTAAGTGGTATGATAAAGCCTCGTGCGGAGGTGTGCCCAGTAGGCAGTGAAGAGGGGGGGCAGGAGCTGTACATGACCCTCCAACATAGGTGAGACACCAAAACTAACGCTCCGGGACCTTCAAGATTTCGTTCCAATACAGCTAAAGGGATATCCTCAATGCCCTACTGAAGTTTCCTAGTTCAGGCTGAGAGATTTCAACACCTTATCCCCTCAAGGGAGGTTCCTTGACGCTGGGTGAGGGGGCTCTTGATCTAAGGAATTGAATCTGCGCTCCAGTTCCCTGAATTGAGCCTGAATACCTTCCATCCCCCCACATGCAGTGTATAATCCTACGGGTTTAGCGCTCCCCCATTAAAATAATTCAACACCTTATGTGAACACCATCTTGCGTGCCGGAATATGACAGAACAACACAGTTTTGTCCACTGTGTAACCATCATACAGAATAGGGTAGACATCACAATGCTGATGTTTCCAATTTTCGTTTAATAAAAACTCTCTCTCTTCTCTCTCTCCCCCTGGCAGCTGAAGACAGGAACAAGTGCCCACCGCAAGGCACCTGCTGCTTCTTGGACATCTGGATATTCTCAAATGTTCTCTGGAGATCTGCAAGGCTTGTTGTACCCCAGACAGCATTGTATGATGGCCAGACAGCCTGGTATAGTGGCCAGACAGCCTATATAATGGCCAACCTAATATAGTGACCAGAGTGCCTGGTATGATGACCAGTCTCTTATGGTGGCCAAGCAGCCTGATATAATGGCAAGACAGCCTGGAATAATGACTAGACAACCAGATATAGTGACTATACTGGCAATGGTGACCAGTCTGTTATGGTGACCAGGCAGAATGGTGTTGTAGCCAGACTGCCTAGTTTAGTAACCAGTGTTATGGTGACCAGGCAACCTATACAGTGGCCAGACAACCTGTTATGGTGGCCAGACTGCCTAGTATAGTAACCAGTCTGTTAAGGTGACCACAATGCCTGGATGGTAACCAGTATGTTATAGTGGCCAGGTAGCCTGGTATGGTAACCAGTATGTTATGGTGTCCAGACAGCCTGGTATGGTAACTAGTATGTTATGATGGTAGCCAGACAGCCTGGTATGGTAACCAGTATGTTATGGTGGCCAGACAGCCTGATTTGGTAAACAGTATGTTATGGTAGCTAGACAGCCTGGTATGGTAACGAGTATGTTATGGTGGTAGCCAGACAGCCTGGTATGGTAACCAATGTTTTGGTGGCAAGGCGGCCTGGTATGGTAACTAGTATGTTATGGTGGTGGACAGACAGCCTAGTATGGTGACCAGTATGTTATGGTAACCAGACAGCCTGGTATGGTAACCAGTATGATATGGAAGCCAGGCAACCTGGTATGGAAACCACAGTTTGTCTTGGTGTCCCTATTATCAAGAATGACGGACGGAACACACCATCTCCAGGCTGAGGGACTTATTAGCTCAAAGTCCTACAACCTCTCACCGTTTTTCTCTGTACTGGACTGAAGAAGTCACTGGTGGGCGAAACGTTTCCACAATAGATACCTAAGTGTTGCGCATGTCTCATTCATCAACTTGTCGGTTTAATAAACCATTTACATATTATTATTACGTATTATAATAATAATAATAATAATATCCGATAGCTTGGAATGATGGCCTGACAGTTTATCATAGTGCTAGACAGCCTGGCATGGTAGCCAGACAGCTTATTATAAGACAGCTACCAAGAAGCCTGGTATAATAAATCTGGTATAGCGACCAAAAATGTTTGGTACGACGACCAGAAAAGCCTGGTATAATGACCATAAAGTCTGCTATAATGATCAAAAGTCTGGTATAATGACCCTAAAGCTGTTATAATGGCCAAAAGCCTGGTATAACGACAATGAAGCCTATGACCAAAAGCCTGGTATAATGGCCATGAAGTCTGCTATAATGACCAAAAGCCTGGTATGACCAAAAAGCCTGGATAATGAACAAAAAAGCTTGGTATGATAAAAAAAGCCTGGTATAATTGCCAAAAAGACTGGTAAAATGACCCAAAAAACTGGTATGACCAGAAAGATCTGATATAACGACCAAAAAGACCTGGCATAATGACCATAAAGCCTGCTATAATGATAAAAAATCTGGTATAATTGGTACAATGACCAATAAGCCTAGTATGGTCATGAAGCCTAGTATATTGACCAATAAGCCTGGTATAATGACTATGAAGCCTATGACCAAAAGCCTGGTATAATGACCATAAGCCTATGACCAAAAGCCTGGTATAATGACCATGAAGCCTGCTATAATGACCAAAATTGGCATGACCAAAAAGCCTGGGTAGGATAAAAAGCTTGGTAGGATAAAAAAAAGCCTGGTATAATTGCCAAAAAGATTGGTAAAATGACCCAAAAAACTGGTATGACCAAAATGATCTGATATAACGACCAAAAAGACCTGGTATAATGACCAGCAAGCCTAGTGCTCTGTCAATATTTTTAAAATGTGGTATTTTCTCGGTGAACGTTGTGCACTTCTTTTATGATTTTTAACAGCTGATAGATCTTAAGGAAAAGTACGATACATTTTGGATTCAGGCTGGTATAATGACCATAAAGCCTGCTATGACCAAACGTCTGGTATAATGGCCATGAAGTCTGGTATAATGATCAAAAGCCTGGTATAATGACCAAAAAGCCTGGATAATGACCAAAAAAGCTTGGTAGGAAAAAAAGCCTGGTATAATTGCCAAAAAGATTGGTAAAATGACCCAAAAAATTTATATGACCAAAAAGATCTGATATAACGACCAAAAAGACCTGGTATAATGACCAGCAAGCCTAGTGCTCTCTGTCAATATTTTTAAAATGTGGTATTTTCTCGGTGATCGTTGTGCACTTCTAATATGATCTTGAACAGCTGATAGATCTTAGGGAAAAGTACGATACATTTTGGATTCAGGCTGTGTAGGTGTGATTTGCCTATTTACCAACATAGCTATTAAACTTGGAATTGATGGAGTATGTGCAATAACTAAAGAATGCATCTTTTGGTCGACTTTTAACCGGTGTGTTTTCCATAAATGAAACCTCACAGTGAAAAGCTTTTGGATTATGTAAGTTTCAACTTGCCAATTTTATTAAACAAATTGGTTTCCGTGCAATAATTAATGAATGCGTCTTTTGATGGGTTCACACCTTCATGCTGGTATATTTTACTTAAATAAAGGTTTGGGCTGTGTAGGTGCCAATTTGACAATTTCATTGAAGAAGTTTGAAAAATTAAATGGTGGTTTTCATTAGATAATCTTTGAATACTTCATTCGATCGGTTTTAAACTTTCAACGTCATTAGCTTAATAATGCAACTTCTGAATAATTGACTTCAAATCTTCGAAGCCGATATTTAACCGCATTAGAAACTTAAGCCTCACTCTGTACTATTCCTTTTATGTGGCAAAAGACAGTTATGTACAGTTCAGGGCATTTATTAGAGGGAAACGTTTCGCCAGTGACTTAAACACATCTAATTATTACTAGTCATGGAAAGCGTTCAGCTCAGGGCACATGGCACCTAGAATATAGGAGGTAGTCAAGTTCGATCTAAGGAAGTGGAGGGTAGCTCCAACTTCACGCATCAAGATTCCTTCACCGGCAAGCAGAGCCCCTCCCCCTCTCCCTTCTGAAGAGAACAAATCGTGTAAATATGGCGGTGTTGGCTGGAACGAGGCTTCGCTCAGCTCCAAGAACACTATAAACCCAGAATGATCCAAGTACACATAAGTACAATTATCATACATAGTTTAACATGCATGTAAATTAACTAGGATAACCCCAAAAAAGTCAGACACTGTGATTTATTTCCGTTGGGGTCCTTTTGTCTTCTGCCCCAGGATGTAACTTCGAACACCCAACTAACACCCAGGTGCCGTACTCTTTACTGCGAGGTGAAGATGGGCAACAGATTTAAAGATACTTACCCATAAGAATTTTCTCGCTTGGGGATCGAACCCGGAACCTTTCGGTTGCAAGCCGAATGTTATACCGCTAAGCTACGAGTACTCCAAAATTACCTAATACAGTTATCGAGATTGAGAACATGCCAATACGTTATGCAAAAAAAAAAAAAAAGATACAATGTTGGATAAAAGCAAGCCTTATTCCCGATGGATGGGTGGAGGTGTAGACAATGGATGGACTCACCTGCTGGTCCAGTACAGACTGATCCTTGTTGAGGTCCACCATGCTAGAGAAGGTGTGGTCCATCGACGGTAGTACTGACACCATCTTGACGTCTTCACACTCAGCTCCACCTTATCACTACAAAATATGTTAGCCCGCGGTGCTTTGCTGCGACCGTGATGTGAGGTGGTGAGACGCTGCTCCACGTGTCTCAGGAAGATGATCCTTCACTGTGTGTGCTCACTTTGCTCAGTTCTGCTGGCTATCATCTCCACATTTTGCATTACCAACACAGCACAAGTCTGCCCTCGAGTGGCTGCCTGAGGAAAGAACGTCAGCGAGGCCTCATGGTTGACTGTTAGCAACCTCTTGTGCTGTCAACCACCTGTTAACACCAGAGGTCGCCGCGTGGGGCCCGCTCCCTTGTTCTCTCAAACAATCAACCACCAAACTTCCTCCTGCTTCCTCGATGAACTTGTCTACCAGAGACCTGCGGCCACGACTCCTGCTTGCTTTTTCCCGACTCGTTCTCGCTGGAGGCAGGTTGAGTGGCGGCGGTGGCCAATCGCCGCTGCCCTTGTCGTCACCAGTGTAAAACGAAACCCTGGCACAACAGGTTTGCTAGCGCGCCAGCCACCACGAGAAGAGCAGGTTGCGTGCCCCTGTCACGCTACCACACCGCCCTCTTGCTCCAACCTGCGCTGCAACACAGTGCACCACGCTACATAATCCCTCAGCTGCCCTCAACCATGTCCAATCCCACTTCCGTCTAGCCAGATTCTTCCCCTCTCTCTGCAAGAGCCGCCCTGCCCAGCCACTCTGACGCGGCTCCAACGTCACCCCGGGACACTGGTTTTTGAAACCTCTAGCCGGCAAGGTAGTTGTACCAGGGGTCGTAGTAGTAGTAGTAGAGCAGCGACGACCTTCAGCGCTCCATTCACTACCACTCGTCAACACACACTAACCCACGGCAGCCATGATGCGCCCCGGACACCTGATCATTGATTAACACGCCCCCCTCCACCAATCACCGCCTCGGTCAGTTCCTAGCCAACCAATGGGAGACGAGGACACAAAGCTGGTAGGACCGACGTGGGTCATAGATGGGAGGAGGGAGGGGTTTGGCCCGGAGGGTTAAGGGAGGCAGGACTCGCGGGAGAGGGAAGGGTGGGGGGACATGGGATGGGGAAGTGAGGGTTAGGATGAGGGGGAGCGGGCACAAGGGGAGACGAGTGAGGGGTCCCACCGCTCGCCTACACCCGGTTATCTCTCTAATTTTACCAACCAAATTAGTTCCAGAATCTGTGTGTGCTTCAGTTCATCAAAATTACCTGGATTGCACTCTCGTTTGGGAAGAGAGAAAAGGTGGAGACGAGGGAGTAATGCTTGTGCAGGAGACACCCGAGTTGGCATCAGCAGGAGCGGTGGTTGTGGTGGGGAGAAGGGGGGAAGGGAGAGAAGGAGGGAAGGAAGGCAAGGATACCCACCGTCACCACCACCAACCACCTCACATGAAAGCCCTTCACTTTACATCAAAACAATGCTTCACTTTGAACCATTGTCTTAAACGTCCTATTCGTTATGTAGATGAATTTCAGAGATAAAACGTTACTTACATCAACCTATATGGCAGAATGGGCATATAGACACTGTTCCTGCTTCAGATAGCTAGTATATGCAAATGAGAATTCCCAAGTTTCCCCTCGAAGAAGCCAACCAAGCTAAGAAAACTGGGATAATAGACATTCTAGGTGAAGAAGGCGCCATTGTCAGCTGTCTGGCTACCTCTGATCATTACATTATAGCTAAGATACAACACTAAGACCTGGACAGCCTCCACGCAGGTTGCCTGACCCTGAAAAACACGAAGGGAAGAGGAGTGTATGTTCCTGTGTGGAGTTAGTCGCTCCCTGTGGAACACAGGGATGGGGGAACTCATCTAGTTGTATTCACCTAGTTGTGTTCACAGAGGTTGAGTCGTGTACATCTTGGCCCCATTTGTACACCCAGGGTTTTTACTGTTATACTTTAGTTCAAGTGTGTCACGTTCCAGATATTTGTTCACAGAGTTGTCTTTAAGAGGGGTCGACTTACAGCTCCTGGCCCTGACAACTTCAAAATTGGTCTTCTGTTACACGTTTGAGATACTTTCCCCTTTCTCAGTTAAAACTCCCCATTTCCTCTATAACCCCTTACAAATTTATCGTTTCTTTATTAACACAATCATATTTCTGGTGCACGTTTGGAAATTCCAGATGCCTCTGGTTACCTGGAGGTTATTCCGGGGATCAACGTCCCCGCGGCCCAGTCCATGATCAGGCCTCCCGATGGATCAGGGCCTGATCAACTAGGCTGTTACTGCTGGCCGCACGCAGTCCAACGTACGAGCCACAGCCCGGCTGATCCGGCACTGACTTTAGGTATCTGTCCAGCTCTCTCTTGAAGGCAGCCAGGGGCTTATTGGTAATTCCCCTGATGCTTGATGGGCCCCGGACACTTATGGTGTTTTCCCTTAGTGTACCAATGGCGCCCCTACTTTTTATTGGGGGCATTTTGCATCGTCTGCCCAGTCTTTTACTTTCGTAGGGAGTGATTTCTGTGTGCAGATTTGGGACCATTCCTTCCAGGATTTTCCAAGTGTAGATTATGATATATCTCTCCCTCCTGCGTTCCAACGAGTACAAGTCAAGTGCTTCCAAGCGTTTCCAGTAGTTAAGGTGCTTGACAGAACTTATACGTGCAGTAAAGGATCTCTGTACACTCTCTAGATCTGCGATTTCACCTGCTTTGAATGGAGATGTTAATGTACAGCAGTATTCCAGCCTAGAGAGAACAATTGATTTGAAAAGGATCATCATGGCCTTGGCATCTCTCATTTTGAACGTTCTCATTATCCATCCTATCATTTTCTTTGCACGTGCGATCGTGGCACTGATGTCATCCTTGAAAGTGAGATCCTCAGACATTGCTACTCCCAGGTCCCTTACATTATTTTTCCGCTCTATTGTATGGCCAGAGTCTGTAGTATACTCTGTTCTAGTTATTATCTCCTCCAGTTTTCCATAACGTAGTAGTTGGAATTTGTCCTCATTGAACATCATATTGTTTACCGTTGCCCACTGGAAAACTTTGTTTATATCTTCTTGGAGGTTAACCGCGTCCTCAGCAGATAACAGGCTCATGCAGATCCTAGTATCATCCGCAAAGGATGATACGGTGCTGTGATGTATATCTCTGTCTAAGTCTGATATGAGGATGAGGAATAAGATGGGGGGAGTACTGTGCCTTGTGGAACAAAGCTCTTCACTATGGCAGCCTCCGATTTAACTCTGTTGACCACTACTCTTTGTGTTCGATTTGTTAGGAAGTTGAAGATCCATCTCCCCACTTTCCCAGTTATTCCTTTAGCACGTATTTTATGGGCTATTACGCCATGATCGCATCTGTCAAATGCTTTTGCAAAGTGTGTGTATATTACATCTGCTTTCTGATTTTCTTCCAGTGCATCCAAGGCCATATCATAGTGATCCAGTAGTTGTGAGTGGCAGGAGCGACCTGCCTTGAACCCATGTTGCCCTGGATTGTGCAGATTTTGGGAATCCAGGTGATTTGCAATCCTGGTTCTTAGCACTCTTTCAAAGATTTTTATGATGTGGGACGTCAGAGCTATTGGTCTATAGTTCTTAGCTAATGCTTTGCTGCCACCTTTATGGAGTGGGGCTATATCCGTCGTTTTAAGTGACTGGAATTTCACCCATGTCCAAGCTCCTCCTCCATAGTGTACTTAGGGCACACGAGAGGGGTTTCTTGCAGTTCTTAATAAAAACAGAGTTCCATGAGTCTGGGCCCGGGGCTGAGTGCATGGGCATGTTGTCAATGGCTTTTTCGAAATCTATCGGAGTTAGGGTAATGTCGAAAATCTGGCATACATTTATGGAGTTTTGAGGCTCATTCATGAAGAAATCATTTGGGTCGTCGATCCTCAGACTGATTAGTGGTTCATTAAACACAGAGTTGTACTGGGATTTCAATATTTCACTCATTTCCTTGCTGTCATCTGTGTAAGTCTTCAACTTCCTAACAAATCGAACACAAAGAGTAGTGGTCAACAGAGTTAAATCGGAGGCTGCCATAGTGAAGAGCTCTGTTCCACAAGGCACAGTACTCGCCCCCATCTTATTCCTTATCCTCATATCAGACATAAACAGAGATATACACCACAGCACCGTATCATCCTTTGCGGATGATACTAGGATCTGCATGAGGCTGTCATCTGCTGAGGACGCGGTTAACCTCCAAGAAGATATAAACAAAGTTTTCCAGTGGGCAACGGTAAACAATATGATGTTCAATGAGGACAAATTCCAACTACTCCGTTATGGAAAACTGGAGGAGATAATAACTAGAACAGAGTATACTACTGACTCCGGCCATACAATAGAGCGGAAAAATAATGTAAGGGACCTGGGAGTAGTAATGTCTGAGGATCTCACTTTCAAGGATCACAACAGTGCCACGATCGCACATGCAAAGAAAATGATAGGATGGATAATGAGAACTTTCAAAACGAGAGATGCCAAGCCCATGATGATCCTTTTCAAATCACTTGTTCTCTCTAGGCTGGAATACTGCTGTACATTAACATCTCCATACAAAGCAGGTGAAATCGCAGATCTAGAGGGTGTACAGAGATCCTTTACTGCACGTATAAGTTCTGTCAAGCACCTTAACTACTGGGAATGCTTGGAAGCACTTGACTTGTACTCGTTGGAACACAGGAGGGAGAGATATATCATAATCTACACTTGGAAAATCTTGGAAGGAATGGTCCCAAATCTGCACACAGAAATCACTCCCTACGAAAGTAAAAGACTGGGCAGGCGATGCAAAATGCCGTCAATAAAAAGTAGGGGCGCCATTGGTACACTAAGAGAAAACACCATAAGTGTCCGGGGCCCAAAACTGTTCAACAGCCTCCCATCAAGCATTAGGGGAATTGCCAATAAACCCCTGGCTGCCTTCAAGAGAGAGCTGGACAGATACCTAAAGTCAGTGCCGGATCAGCCGGGCTGTGGCTCGTACGTCGGACTGTGTGCGGCCAGCAGTAACAGCTTAGTTGATCAGGCCCTGATCCATCGGGAGGCCTGGTCATGGACCGGGCCGCGGGGGCGTTGATCCCCGGAATAACCTCCAGGTAACCTCCAGGTAAGTCCCATCCTGTCTGAGTGAGGGCCTGATACTAGATGTGGTATTTGCCTTGTTTTTGGCATATGAAATGAAATATTTTGAATTTCTTTCAATTTTACTAATAGCTTTAAGCTCCTCCTGTCTCTCCTGGTTCCTGTAAGAGTCATTTAACTTAAGTTCGATAGTTTCCACTTCCCTGGTCAGCGCCTCCTTTCGTGTATCAGTTATTCTAGCACTCCTGAGGAGCTCAGTGACTCTTCGTCGTCTTCTGTAGAGGGAGCGTCTTTCTCTCTCCAGTTTACTCCTGCTCTTCTTCTTAGGGGAGTATGCCTAGAACATGCTTCAGCTGCCAGGAAGTTAATCCTTTCAAGACACTGGTTTGGATCTGTCATTTAAGATATGTTCCCAACATGTTTCGTTTAGGACATGGTTTACCTGGTCCCAGTTGATGTTCTTGTTGTTGAAGTTGTATTTTGTGAAGACACCTTCACAGGTACATGCATTCTGCTGATCAGGACCCCTATGCATGTACGTCTGGACTTCGATTAGGTTGTGATCGGAATTAGTTGTTTTTGATATGTCTCTTATCAGGTCCTCATTATTTGTGACGATAAGGTCAAGTGTGTTTTCTAGTCTTGTTGGCTCCACTATCTGCTTAAGGTGTGTTTTTCGCAGAGACTTAGTAGCTCATGTGTGTGTGACCTTTCATCTGCGCTACCTCCGGGGATTGTTTCAGCTATAACATTATTTGCTCCATTCTTCCATTTTGTATGCCTTAGATTGAAATCACCAAGCAGTAAGATGTTTGGGGATGGAGCTGGAGGGTTTTCCAGACAGAAATCAATTTTCAGTAGCTGTTCCTTGAACTGTTGTGAGGTTGCATCTGGTGGCTTATATACAACCACAATGACTAGGTTTTGGTTCTCGATCTTTATTGATAGAATTTCAACTACCTCATTTGTGGTGTTCAGCAACTCCATGCAGATGAAGGACTCTTTGACATACAGGCCAACCCCCCCTTGCTGCCTGTTCATTCTGTCACATCTAAAAAGGTTGTAACCACTTATCTATATTTCACTGTCAAAGTGATCTTTTGTGTGAGTCTCTCTGAAGGCTGCAAACATTGCATTAGACTCCTCTAGAAGTCCACTGATAAAAGGTATTTTGTTGTTGGTGGATGGCTTAAGGCCCTGTATATTAGCAAATATGAACGAGGTTGTATTCTGTGTTTGTTGGGGGGATTTTGTTATTGGCATCAGTAGTTGTAATTCTGGAGGGCCATGGGTGGCCACTGGCTGTGCCTCCAGTCCAACAAGGCTCCAAGGTGGGACTATTTTTGTTATTTCCTTCCATTTTCTTTTTTTCCGTTTCCTGCCACTAAAAAATCACCTGGAGTTGGGTTGTCGTAGCTAGTATTGTTTGTCTTGTGGGTCTGTGCCTCCTGGTCCCTTTTTGATGGTATGCAGGGCAGTCGATGTTGTAACACTGCTTCTGGAGGACCGAGGAGTGACACATTTTTGGGTGAAAGAAAGTACAGGAAGAAGAACGACACACTCCTTTAGACAGGAGGTCGCTACATTTTTTGGGATGCTCAAAGTTGCATGTCCCATTTTTTTTCCTGATATTCCATGCTTACAGATGCCCCAAGCATAATATTTGCACAAATTCACCTTTGGTTGAGAATTGCTGGGAGGTGTGTTGTCAATTTCTGCAGGTTCTGGGACTGCACTATAATCCTCAGTATCCAAGCCAGGGCCACCCCGTCCTGGATTCCATCTACTTTCCTCAGTAGAGGAAGGAGGAGACTCCTCTCCAACATCTGTATTGTGGGCCATGGTCTTGTGCAATGATGGTTGTATATTTACGGTTTTAGTGGTGGTTGTGGAAGGGTCCCTAGTAGAGTCTGGGCTGGCAGTAAGGCTGGGGGCTGTGTCTGAGTCAGCATTGGGGCTGGGGGCTGAGCCTGGGCCAGCACCATCACTGTGGGTATTAGTGCTATGACTGGGGGATGAGTCTGGTTTAGCACTATGTGGGTGACTAGATAGTTTCGAGTCATCTGTTGTGGTATGGGCATTCTGCATTTTTTGACACACTATCTCTTGCTCCCATGTTTTATATATTTTTGGTAGACTATTCAAGAGGTCATCTTTGTTTTCTTGATTATTATTATCATTTATTACTCTCCTTAGTACCTTTCTGATACCTGCCCAAAGTTCTACATCTTTATTGCACAACCAGAAACACCTTGCTAGTTCGAGGCCATTTTTTG